CTTCCCAAACAGTTCCCACATACCCCAAGAGCCCGTGCGACGATCCCCATGATGATGGGCCTGTTTTCCACCGCCACCACCATAAGTTGCAGGGGGAAGGAGGAGGGAGGAGGAGGAGGAGGAGGAGGAGGAGGAGGAGGAGGAGGAGGAGGAGGAGGACCCCCTCCCCCTCCAACTTACGGTGGTGGTGGTGGTGGTGGTGGTGGAAACCAGGCCCATCACATGATCATCCGGGCCTCCCCCCGGCTGGCCTCAAAGGCTGCCTCAAGACGGCCCGTGGCTGCCCCCCCATTGCCCCAAGACTCTACCGTGCGGTGTTGGATGGCCGAGGGCGCGCGAAGCGCACGCGTGGGCCTCGTCTTGAAGATCCGAGCTCATTCTGGGCTCCAGCTCGTTTTACGACTTGTCGAGTTTCGGAGTTCCACCGTAGACATCAATCTTGGCGGGAAGGCTCGTGCATAGTCAGATCGATCAGTCATGTTTAGGACACGCTCGAGCTTGACAGCTTGACCCTGCCATCGCAGCTATATGTAAGGCAAATCTGGGCTCTCACTTCTGACCGGGAGCTTTATCAGAGAACATGTTGAGTGTGCCCGGAAGTTTAAGGACAAAGTACGGTGGGAATCAAGGGTTGACCCGAAAGTTTACTGACAAATTTGACCAGCCAGATGTTGTGGAGGATCAAGGTGGTGTGCCTTTCTCGTTGGTTGGATTTTCAGTTCGTCCGTATGAGGCTCACATTCGGATTTGCTTCGCATCTCCGCGGGCAAATTCCGCGTGGTCCAAGTCCACGATTGGAGCGGACCGTGTTGCCGTCGGGGCAGCAGTATGCACGTGGAGCTCATGTCTTGACGCAGTGTTTCTCCATTGGTGCTTCTGTGGTGGTCGCAGCTCGCGAACCTGGCCGAACCGTCATCTTGCGTGGAAAGAGCCGTTACCCATTCTTTCTAGTCGCATCATGCTCATTCTTCTCTCCCTCGTCCGAGTCGCCATGGCGCTGGTTCTCATGCTCGTCCTTATCCTCGGCCAGACCCTGCTGCCGCAGCCACTGTCTCTGCCGCTGCTTCCGCTTCTGCTGCTTTTTTTTCGTGTGCCTGCGTGTTTCTTGCCCCTCGCACCGTCCGCTTGATTCCGCTGCTGCCCCCCTGCAGTACAGCGATCAAATCGGCAACACCAACGACGGCTTCGCGCAGCTGTTGGACCTTGCAGTAGGCATCCAGTTGACATTTCGGGTGAGCGTGTCGTGGTGTCGGGTCATGAATGCGAAACACGATGACGAGGGAGGGTGAGGGTACGTCGAGGGCCAAGGCGAACACGCTGGCTGCGGTGGCATTGGATACGAATATTGCCACCGAGATGCCAACGATCGGCACGTCGATGTTGAGATGGATCATTTATTGATGATGGGGATGGGGGGGGACGAGCACTGGCTTGGAAGGATTGCGACATGTGCGAGTTTTCTATGCAGGATCTCTCTCTATCTCTCTTTGCCAACTCGTTGACAGTTCTCGCTTGATGCTTCAGTTAGGATATGGAATGATATGGAGAAAGAGTAAAGAGAGGAGGGGAACGATGATGAGGAGAAGGAGGAGGGGAAAGGAGGAGCCCTGAGAATGGAGGAAGGATCAGCACGAGAAGTGATGGGGGAGGAGGGCGGCCTGGATGGGACAGGAAGTTTTATGGTATGGAGGATGGGAGTGGGAAGCATGACGACGATCACGACAAGGATGATGAACGATGACGATGCTGATGATGCGGATGATGATGGTGCTGCTGATGATAATGATTGATGATGGTGATGTCGTCGATGATGATGCTACTGATGCTGATGCTGATGCTGATGCTGATGATGATGATGATGATGATAATGATGATGCTGCTGCTGATGATGATTTTGCTGATGCCGATGATGCTGATGATGATGATGCTGATGATGATAATGATGATGATGTTGATGATGATGATGAGGATGATGATGCTGATGATGATGCTGATGATGATAATGATGATGCTGCTGCTGATGATGAATGATTTATTATGATGATGCTGCTGCTGCTGATGATGATTATGCGGATCGCAAGCTCCACTCTTATGTCAAAGTGTGGCACGACTCCCTGGATCTATGCTTCTGACGAGGAGGAGGAGCAGCAGCACCAGCAGGCAGCCGCAGCAGGAGCGGCGTGCCACTGGGGACGGGGCGCACGAGGGGGGGGGAGGCGGGAGCGCGGGCGGCTGGCGGCGGCTCGCCGGGCGCAGGCCTGATGCCCGACGGCGGGTGCGCGCCCGCCCTTGCCCGGCTGCTGGCGGCCGCGTTGCCACGCCCTTGGCCGCTGCTGCTGCTGCGTCGTCGTCGTCGTCGCCGTCGTCGTCGTCGCCGTCGTCGTCGCCGTCGCCTCCCACCTGGAGCGGGCATGCGGTCGGGAACTTCTGCGCAGCGTGTCGCGGTGGCGGCCCCGGCGGCGCGCCATGCCCCGCCAGCGGGTATCGCGCGTGTCGCTCCCCCCTCCGCGGGGCGAGAGTCTCCGAGAGTCTCGGGACAGTGACGCTTTGGCTTTGGGGGCGTGGATGGCGTGTCGCGTCGAAGCGCGCTTGATGGGCTTGCATTCCACCACCACCATACGTTAGTAGTAGTAGTAGTAGTAGTAGTAGTAGTAGTAGTAGTAGTAGTAGTAGTAGTAGTAGTAGTAGTTAGTAGTAGTAGTAGTAGTAGTAGTAGTAGTAGTAGTAGTAGTAGTAGTAGTAGTAGTAGTAGTAGTAGTAGTAGTAGTAGTAGTAGTAGTAGTAGTAGTAGTAGTAGTAGTAGTAGTAGTAGTAGTAGTAGTAGTAGTAGTAGTAGTAGTAGTAGTAATAGTAGTAGTAGTGTAGTAGTAGTAGTATTAAGTAGTGTAGTAGTATTCGTAGTAGTCGTGTAGTAGTAGTAGTAGTAGTAGTTAGTAGTATAGGAGTAGGAGTAAGTAGTAGTAGTAGTAGTAGTCGTAGTAGTAGTAGTAGTAGTAGTAGTAGTAGTAGTAGTAGTAGTCGTGTGTAGTAGTAGTAGTAGTAGTCAGTAGTGTAGTAGTAGTTAGTAGTAGTAGTAGTAGTAGTAGTAGTAGTAGTAGTAGTAGTAGTAGTAGTAGTAGTAGTAGTGTAGTTAGTAGTAGTAGGTACGTAGTAGTAGTAGTAGTAGTAGTCGTAGTAGTAGTCAGTAGTAGTAGTAGTAGTAGTAGTAGTAGTAGTAGTAAGTAGTAGTAGTAGTAGTAGTAGTAGTAGAGAGGAGGAGGAGGAGGAGGAGGAGGAGGAGGCGGAGGAGGAGCAGGAGCAGGAGGAGGCGGAGGAGGAGGAGGAGGAGGAGGAGGAGAGGGAGGACGAAGAGGAGGAGGAGGAGGAGGAGAAGGAGGATGAGGAGAGGAGGAGGAGGACCCCCTCCCCCTCCAGCTTAGGGTGGCGGTGGTGGTGGAGGAAAACAGGCCCGTCAGCGGTGGGCCATGACCGGCGGTATGACGCGCTAACCACATCTTCTCGACCGTAAGGTGTACAGCTATTGTTGCGTTCGCGTGAGAAAGCATCCACTGCAAAAAACCCGCTCAGGTGCAATGGCCTACAAATTGAACCTGGGTGAGCGCAGCAGAAGGCAGATGAGCGAAAGGAGGAAAAGTGAGGAAAACTCAGCCAGCGAGGGCACAGAGTATGCGGTCACAGAGGTGGGTGTCGGCGCCCTCCTCGTCCTGCTCCGAGCACTGTACATGACCACCACCACCACAACCACCACGGTCGGGAAATACGCGCGACCCGTTTTGGCGCGGTGTGACCGTTGTGGGGAGTCCGTTCTCGCCGCCCCGCCGCCAACGACGACCAGGGCCCCCCGGTCGTGCTGGAGGGCCGGAGCGGAGTTCACATCAGATCAAGCGCGGCGGTGGTGTGCATGGCCTGGCGCCGCTCGGGCGCGTGCGCTGCTTCTCGGCGAGGACCATCGAGGAGCACCTGGGATCATCCCGCGAAGCAGCTGCACGCACGAGACCGAGGAGTGCACGGGGAGTGGACGTCGCAGCGATGGCCAGAGGGGCGCTGGTCGCAGCACCGGCAGCTGCGGTCGCCGCAGTTTGCGCTGCCGCGGTCGGCGCGCCTCGTGGCGGGGCCGCGCCGCTTTCGGCCAGCGCTGGGGGCCCCCGGGAGGGGCCCCCGGTCCCCGGGTGTGCCCCGCTCGCCGCCGCGAACGGCGCCGACGTCGAGACGGCAGCCCCGCACAGAATCGCCCGCCGAAGCGGGGAGTTGTGACGAATCCCGGCCGGATTCGTCACGAATCTCCGTTTCGGGGCGCTAGCTCGTCACAAATCCAGCCCCTGTGTTGGCCCTACGATTGGTGACGAGCCCAGACCAGATTCGGCACAAATGGCTTTGCTTTTCGGGCGGGGGCCCGTCCGCAGGGTGCCCCACAACGACAGGAATCGGTCGAGCAACAGCGATTTTGTGCCGACCCCAGGCCAGAGTCCGCGCTAATTGCAGGGTCGACATAGGGGCTGGATTTGTGAGGAGTTGATTCGTGAAGGTCCAGGCCTCACTCATCGCAATGCCTCTTTTGAAATTTTGTGCCGAGTCGTGGTCGGATTCGGCACACATCGATGTTTCCGCGGTCGGGTTTGTGACGAGTCGAGGTCGGATTTGGCACACATCGCAATTTTGCGATCGATTTTGCGAGGGGCCGAGGTCGGATTCGGCACAAATCGATGCTTCATCGGTCGAATTTGAATCCGACCCACTCTGATTGAAATTTCAGTTGAGGACCGTCGTAGTAGTAGTGATAGTAGTGATAGTAGTAGTAGTAGTAGTAGTAGTAGTGGTAGTAGTAGTAGTGGTAGTAGTAGTAGTAGTAGTAGTAGTAGTAGTAGCAGTAGCAGTAGTAGTAGTAGTAGTAGTAGTAGTAGTAGTAGTAGTAGTCGTAGCAGTAGTAGTCGTAGTAGTAGTAGTAGTAGTAGTAGTAGTAATCGTAGTAGTAGTAGTAGTAGTAGTAGTAGTAGTGGTGG